ATTCTCTCTCATTCTCTCTCTCTCTCTCTCTCTCTCTCTCTCTCTCTCTCTCTCTCTCTCTCTCTCTCTGTCTTGCCCCCTCCCCCTTTCCTTATAAGGTCTTGCTCTGTTACCCAGGCTGGAGTGCAGTGCTGTGATAATAGCTCACCTCAGCCCTGACCTCCTGGGCTCAAGGAATCCTCCTCTCACCTCAGCTTCCCAAGTAGCTGGGACTACAGGCATGACCCATGCCTAGCAAATTTTTTCAACTTTTTGTAGAGATGGAGTTTTGCTAGGTTGCCCGGTTTGGTCTTGAACTCCTGGCCTCTAGGAATCCTCCTGTTTTTGACTCCCAAGGCACTGGGATTACAAGCTTGAACCACTGCACCTGGTCAACACTTTTATTGAAGAATTATATTAGAAACCAAGATCCAAGCATGAGACACATATGCTTTAAAATGTCTGTTACTAGGTCTAGACATGAAGGGCTTACAAAAGGACACATTTTGAGGGCATTATTGGTGCAGGGCATTATTGGTGCAGGGGCAGTAACAAAAAACTTCCAGCTCCATTTTATAGTTCAGTGGAAAAACTGAGGCAGCTTTCCGCTTTATTATTTATAAATGTATCATAAGTCAGAAAGAGAAGTTCTGATGTTTTTTCTTCACATGATAAGAGTTGATGTGCTTGAGAAGGTGTCAAGGCTGAAAGAACTCCTTATTTTTATGTTGCTTTGAGGTTTCTTCTGTTCTAGCAAGAGGACTGTTTTACTCTTTCAATATCCGTGTGTGTGTACTCTTAACACCTCAATGGCAAAATAAAGTCTATGTCTTATAATCTATCATATGGATGTGATAAAGCCATGGGTCCAGAAACCAGCTTCAACAAGTCATCTGCAGAGGGAGCAAATGAAGAGAGAGTGTCTGATGACACTCGGGTCACAGGAAAAAGACAGGTGGTGAAGCAGGAAGCACTGGACATTGGTGTCAGTCCCACATGGAGGAGTCAAGCCCTATTTGGCCTGGGCCTTCTCCCAGGAATGAAGTCATCAGCCCTAGTCATGGGAGCCCACAGTGGCAAGACCAAGCATGATAGACACCTGTTCCTTACAAGTTTATGTACTGGAGTTCTGAGGGCTCTTCCCTGCACCTCCGAGACCCCAGCAATCCAGCAACAAAGGGAGCAGCTGGTGCTCTGAGGGAGGAGGTGCATCCTCATCTAAGCCAGACAGAGGATGGGTGGGAATACCTGGTACACCCTGTGTGCCTTTGGTGACCCCAATATCTGCCAGCATCCCCAGATGTGCACCTGCCTCTCCAAGCCAGTGCACACCATCTAGACATCAGGTGTGCCCATATCCACGAGAGGCTCACATCTGAGACCACCTTCTGCACAAGTTTTGTTGGGTTACAGTGTGCTCCTATGTGATATTTTACTCCAGACAATAGGATGTGTGGTGAGAGAGAAGGCATCCGTCACTGCCTGGGATGGTGAAAGGCCCCGGGGTAGGAAAACAATCTGGATTTTCTAGAGTTCAGGAGTTCTGCTTACATCCCAAACCTGGTCCACATGTACTGGATGAGAGACAGAAGGCCTGGTTTAAAACCCTGTTTTGCTGTCCCCAGGCTCCACTAGCACAGGCAAGATAATTTAGACTTCAGGGTCTCTGTTTCATAAACTGGATTCTGAATGCAGACTGTTCATATTACTAATAGGGCCCCATAGTCTAATCTGTTTTGTTCCCAGACATGGCTCAGAGGGAGCCTTAAAATGATGCCAACCCACAGAGTCAAGGACATGCACAAGTTCAGACAGTTGCATGGTACTGGCACAATTCCCCCTGGTGCCTGCTGAGTGATAAAGGTGTTGAGACTCAGAATCAGACCCAAAGTGAGCAGAAGGCAGGGTGGGAGGGATGCATGCTGTCCCCTCCCAAGGTGGCAGGGAACACCTGTCATGTCTATCTGGATGCAACAGAAGCCATGTGGAGCCTTCACCCCTTTATCCTCCTTCCCTATCTAGATATGTACACTCATGGAAAAGTTGAGGGCCAGCCATGTCTGCCTGGCAGGTGGCTACCCTGGGAGCTGCGCTGTCCTTCCCGAGGGGAGAAACTGGGGATAGAGAAACAAGACCAGGGCCCACGACAGTGCGGGCAAGTCATCCCAGAACAGCAGGTGTCTTGTGTGTATTTCTGACCCTGAACTTGTTTACAGGTGAGGTGGCTTTACCCAGCATGCCAGGGCAGAAAACAAGATTCTAGCCATGAAAATGCAATCCTGTGGTATTTCCCCTCAAAGCCCCACTTTTTCCCTTTAGGAAGATGAGAGACGCAGAGAGAAGGAATCAGACCACCCTGCTCTCAAAAACAAGCTATTGTTACAAGTTTTTACTGAGAGTTTCTATGTCAATTGATTTAAAAACCAGAGGAAGCCTTTTTCAAAAAGCCACAAGGTTCGAGGCTATGAGAACAGCATTTCCTGCCAGCAGGGTTTCCTGCTTGGCGACCGCAGCAGTGTGGAGACACATCCCCCCCACCACGCCCTGTGCCTGGCTGCATCTTGTCCCACTCACCCTTCCTCCCCGACGAAGGTGACGTAGAGCTTGTTTCTCTGAAGGTCTTTTCTGGAGTAGCCCATAATCTGATTAAAAGCATCTTCAAGCAAGTGATCTCTTCGGATGATTAACCTGTCCATACAGAGACAGTTTGAAAAATACAGATTATTTCCTAATCCTTATCATTCTAGAATGTGGCACTTGCCATTTAATTTCCATTTACCACAGTCAACAAAGCAAGAAGAGATGGGGTTACTTAATACCATTGTTGTCTGCAAGAAAGCACACGTGTGTCTTTAACTCTTCACAGCACGAGCCAAGGTTACAGAAGAGTTACTGGGAGATAGAGGACCTTGACCAGGGCCTGTAAGAACATGGGGAATCCTTTCTGAATGGTCAGATCAATTTATTCCAGCAGAAAAATGATCTCACACACACACACAAACACACACACACACACACACACACACACACACACACGCACAACTCTTGTTTGGAAAAGCAAGAACAACCCTGTGAGGTCACGTTCTAAGCCTGCATGCACCTAGATGAGGAACTTAATCACTAAATGCTCAGAGAGGTGACCGTGAAGACCAGGAGGAAAGAAATCCTCAGTGTCCTCCAAAGCAGAGGGGTTCACAACCATGCTTCATTTCATTTTAAAATTAATGAACCCCGAGAGTTCCCAGGGAACAGACACAAGTGAATGCTGCTTGTACTGAGTGATCTGCTTATAGTGATGACAACAGAAGCCATCCTTCCATGGATGTCAGTTTGTCCTCGGTGTAATGACAGTAGACAGGGCAGTAACGGAACTGAATGCAGGACCACTGGGTGTCTAGACCTTCTGGGTCACAAGCAAGGACAGCACTGCCCAGAGTGCGTGTGGGGCGGGCGGGTGTGGGTCTGACAAGGCCCGTGGAAGGTAGTGCCTCAAGTTGCAGCTGGTCCAGCTCCTGGATCCCCCTTAAGCACCCCATCACAGTGGTGCTTCAGGGGAACCTACCCCTCCATCCACTCCCAGTGGCAGAGACCTCACAGTGGGGACAGGAGGTAGAATGGAGGAGACATGCAGGGAGCGAGAACAACTCTAGACCACACAACGGGATGCGTCTTAGCTTCCCTGTTTGCAGGGGTGGGTGGAAAGAAAACAACAAGCATGACACGCTCTGTCGTGAAGTGTGCTCTGCAGGATGATGTAGTGCTGAGTGCTAGTCCTGTGCTCAGGTCAGCTCGGGAGATGGTGACCTACATTACAGGACACAGTGACAGCCTTCTAGCTCACGGGAACCTTTTCAGGTGGGGGATAAAAATCTGCATTTTACTCTGCCTATATTTTGACATGGAAAGTGGCTTTGTCTTCATTGCTCATTTTAAAACCTTAACACCTGTTCTGATTAATTTCAGAACAATGTTTTGGATGGTCCTGTAATTTACAAATATCAAAATAATCAAGCCGACTTAAACAAAGGCCAGCCATCTCCAAAATCGCCACCAGTTTTCCAGACGCTGGGCTGCACCCCAGCCCCATCTATAGCCACGAGGTCAAACCCCGGGACTTACTTTAACTTCCCCGGGCCTTGCCCATATCCTTTTGTCTCCAACTTCCTGTAAAAGTTCCTCAGTTTGGCTTCAAAATCCCGCTTGTATGGGGCCGGAGCCCGGGCATTTGCACGCTGGGTACCTGCAGAAATCACAAAGAGAGGGAGGCCTGGATTTGTGCACTGTCTCCAGCACACCACATCACCATGACAAATGCCACCAGCCAGGAAGCCCAAGGAGGTAAGACTTGAGCAGCTGCATTTCTCATCTGTCCAAGCCGAAGGACACCACGACCCTCAACCAGGTTTAAGAGGTGGTTTCCTTGTGGCAATTTGGTTGAGAACAAAAACTCTGTTTGAATAGTTACAATGGCACCACGTGTTTCTAAAATATGTTCCCCTTTTCAGTCCAAACTAATATGAGTCAAACTGGGTTACTCATGACATGTGGCGACTACTCAGGGCGAGGTGTCTGCACTGCTGAAACGACATCATGACAGGTAGGCAGGAAGTTGCCATGTGAACTCACACAAGGCAAGGAGGGGGAGCTTTCATTGTTCACTCCCAATTCCTCACCAAAAACCCCTAAAACCTTTCTTTAGATATGCACTGTCACTAAGAATGCCTTTAAATACATAATTACATACATTTCAGGGTTGCAGGAGAAAATAATCTTAATATAAAAATAGGATTCAGACATAATTGCAAAAAGCACATGTCCCTTGGTTGTGCTAATATTAAAAATATCAATATTAAATTAATATTAATATTCATTGCATTCTTAATCTGTGCCAAGTACTGTGAATATCTACAGATTACCTAAAGATATTTTACATGCTGTCTAATGGCAAGTATCATTAACAAAATGTAAAAGTGACATAGTTTGCTCCTCTTTCCATAGAAAAATCTGGCCCTGTGTCACAAGGTGACTAAACAATAAGTCGGGATATAAAACTGATGATGAATATGAAAATCAGAAACAGAGTCATGACAAAAACACTGGACACTTCCGTGAAAGAGTGCCCAACTCAATGAACAACAACAACAACAAACCCCAGAAAACAAGAATTGTGAAGTCTTGCTCATAGCACACCATGCAAATTCACCAAAAATTTCTTTAACAAATGAGTCAACGCAGTGGCTATTACTAATGGCGGCTGCTGCATTAGGTTTGGCAATGGAGGCCCAGCAAGAGTACAGAGGGGCTGCTGGAGTGAGTGTCTTGGGAGGGGGACAGAAACCAAAGGTTAACTGATTAGAGGATAGTTGAGTCCTGAACCAGATGGCAGACAGGCTACACAGCAGAGGGGCTGTGCTCCACAATCTTGTTTGAAAACTTTACATTAATTGCCAACATTTAAGAATCAGGAGATTTCAAGTTGCAAAACATCCAGGATTTTCTTTTGACAATGATTTGGGAACTCCTGCAGCCACAGTGATCGTCTCCCGGGACCCAGAGGCGGCCAGGCAGCTCTGCTGTATGAGGCCTGCTCAGCACTCTGCCAAGGCTCTCAAGGACGCAAGTGCTGGGCTGAGGCATCTGCATTGGGGATCAGGGCTCTAGAACAGTCATAAAGATGTTATCTAAAAGAAGCCAGCATAAATAGAGCTCACAGTGGAAAGGGCCTAAGGGAGGGGGCTTGTTTGGAAGCAGAGCTACCAAGGAGAGGGGGTCCCTGTCTCCCGCTAAAGCAGGTGGCTGGAGAGGAAGAGTGGGACCTGGGTGCTCAGGACTCTCGAGGGACCCTGACCCAGGGCACAGAGCACCAAGACTCCATGGCAAATGAAGCTGATAGAAGGGATAGGTCCATTACCCAGGGGGCTGAAAGCCTGGTGAAGGGTCTGGGCAGGGTGCACAGACAGTGGGAAGCTTTGCAGGTCCCTAAGCTGGGAAATAGCACAGGGGATGTCACATGAATTAGGGGTGCGCAGAGGAACAGCCCCAGCTTGGGGGATTGCAGGAAGCAGCCCCCGAAAGGTGAGGACTGGCCTAGGGTGGCTCAGAGAAACACACCAACATGAAACACATGCTTGGCATGGCTAAGGGAGGAGGACGAGGGGCAGTGCTGTGGGAAGGTGAGGTTTCTTATGTTTTTGAGTGAGAAAGTAGGAATTTATTGAGAAGACAGGAAAGTTCCTGGCAGTAGGAGGGGCCCTGAAGGGCTGCCCAGAAGGTGAGGCTTTTAATAGCAGCTGCCACTGCTGAAGCAAGACCAATGGAATGCTTGGGATGCACCACGGGGTCTCGAGGGCCCTCGCAGCACACTGGGAATGGCACTGTGGTCACCACCAGCACCTCTCTTGAGCAAAGGAAAGTGAAGATGCCATCCCTCCATAGTCATGCGCTACAGAGAGCAGGTTTGGGTCTGGGCCAGGTCCAGGTGATGCAGAAAGAGGTGTGGTGACTGGGGCACCAGGCTGGAGGGGACAGCCGGCCAGGGGCTCTGCAGGCACCTGGAAATATAGTCCTGGGGCTGGATGGGAGACAGGTCACATATATTGACTCAACGAGTCATGTGTGTGGCACCTTGGGCAGTACCTGTAGCAAAGGAAGCCCCATGTAAGTGTTAGCTGTTGCTACCTGCACAGAAGCAAATGCTACAGACATGGGGAAGATTTGAAAAACCCCAATGTCCAGCCACACCCAAGGTGAGGGTTACATAGGAACCTGTAGGTGGGACCCAGGCGTGAGTGCCTCACGCAGTGCTCGGGATGACCTCAGTGCCAGCTGTGACTGAAGCTGAGATTCCCTTCATGGAAGGTAAGTGCAACCAATCAGCCCCTAGGAGACTCCAGGGACTAACCCAGGGCAGACTCCTGCATATCTGAGAGGCATCCTCTGCAACATGACAGACCATGATGAGTGTGCTCTACTAGAGGAATGGCGGATGGGGGCGGGGGATGCAGCACAGTGAGGCTATCAGGGCTCCAGTCTGAGAAACAGAAGACTAGTGAGCCAAGTAGTCAGGCCAGCTGGGAAGGACCCACTTTCAAGAGTATGGTCATGGATGGGAAGGAGAAAAACGGGCAGAAGATGGATGGACATCTTCAAGACCCCGAAACAGGATCTCTCAAAAGTCGACTACTCAAAAACACATGCAGGGCTGGGCATGAAGGCTTATGCCTGTTATCCTAGCACTTTGGGAAGGCAAGGCAGACAAGGCCAAGGAGTTCAAGACCAGCTTGGGCAATGCAGCAAAATCTCATCTCTGCTACAAAAAAAAAAAAAATTCTGGGCGTGGTGGTGCAGGCTCTGTAGTCCTAGCTATCTGGGATGCTGAGCCGGAAGGACTGCCTGACCCAGGAGGTCCAGCCTGGGTGACAGAGTGAGACCCTAATTCAAACACAGACACACACACACACATGCAGGACACTTATCTGTGAGCCAGAGGTGGGAAATGCTAGTGCATTTGTCCATATCCATGCAGATACAGGAGTGAGCTCCTGCCCCACTGACACACCAGGTGAAGGGACTTAGTGATGAAGACACTGGAAACAGCAGCTTGGAAATGTGGAATGTTTTTGCTATTAGTTTTACTACACAAAACATTATTTACACCTTACTCCATCTTTTTAAAATTACAGCAAATTATACTGTTGACCTTTGTCAAATTCTTTTTTTTTTCTTTTTTGAGGTGGGGAGTCTCACTCTGTAGCTTTGCCTGAAACACAAGGGCACAATCATGGTTCACTGTAACCTCTACCTCCTGAGCTCAGATGATCCTTCCACCTCAGCCTCCTGAGTGGTTAGGACTACAGGTGCCCGCCAGCATGCCCAGATAACTCTTTTTTTTTTGTAGATATGAGGTCTCACTGTGCTGCCCAGGCTGGTCTCAAACTCCTGGGCTCAAACAATTCTCCCACCTTGGCCTCCCAAAGTGCTGAGATTACAGGCATGAGCCACTGTACCAGTCCTTCGTCAAATTCTTAATACATATCAGGAAGTTCCAGGGCAGGGATGATGATGCTTACACTGTGGAGGTCACAAATGTCCTTGAAGATTGAGCTAAAAGAACCATAAGGGCACAAACACCACAAGTGAGTTCTAGGACGGAATACTCTCACAGAGAGTTGTTGTGCAGCCTTTACAGTCTTGAATAAGAAAGCCAGATACAAAGGGTGGATGTTATACCTAGTAGGTGATCAAATGAAGGGCCAACTTCACCAAGAGTCAGACGATGCTGGCTATTTGCAGGAGAACATTTCAGTAACAGATAATAGGAGTTTTTTCTTTGTCACTGCTAGGCCGACCTGACCAACTTCTATATGGTGTTATGCTAGTCCATGTACTGTCACAAAACTACATCGTCATATACAAACTAAGGAACTCTATCTGACAAAACATTCCAGATGATACTGAAGCAATCTTGGCAGGAGACTCCCAAGCGGCTTAAGTCTGCTTTGGTTCTGGGCGAGTACTGAAGCCAAGCTGCTCTGATGCCCAGCATGCTCTGTGTGGACAGGGTGGGGCTCAGCCTGCTCTGTGCTGCCCAGGCCTCTCTCCTGGGACACCTTGGAAGCCCCCTCTTTCCAGATTTACTTTCAGAACTCTCCATGACATTAAAAAAATTCCCTATTGGTGAATGAAAACAAAATCTTGAGTATTACCGTATTTCTGGATGGCTCCACTCTCTAGAACACAGCCCCATTCTGGGACCTGGGGAAATACCCCTCGGATAGCGGCCTGAGTGCAGCACACAGGCTGTGTGTCTCTGCACTTTCCCGAGTTGAGTGGTCCTTGGGTCATCTCTGAGCTGCTGGTGCTCCTGTGTATACCCTTGACTGGAAATGACCCAGAGCTGATTCTCAGGCCTTGGCATAGGTCTCGGCCAAGAAACAAACTAAGCCAACTAAGCAGGGAAGGTGGGCGGGTGAGTCAGTGGCAGGTGTTCTCTTTTAGCACCAGGGGTGAGGACAGGGAGACCACCACCAAGTCAACCCTCACCGTGGGGGAGTTGGTACCTATGCGTTCCTTTAGGCTCTGGAGTCACAGCCCCATCCCACCCACAGGGGGCTGCCCTCCCTGGTTCTGCATGGTTCCTAGGTCACCTCTGCAGGGCTGAGCCCAGGGAAGGGACCAAACACTTTTTCTAAAATCAGGTACAAGTCTTCAGGGACTGTGGGAAAGCAGAAGGGGGGGCGGTGAGTAGAGAGAGTGGGGCGGGGGGGGGGGAGAGATGGGAGAGAGAGAGATGAGAAAGAGACAGAGAGGGAGAGAGAGATAAGAGAGACAGAGTGAGAGAGGGGAGGGGAGCGAGAGAAGGGGGAAGAGAATGATAGGGAGCGAGAGGGAGAGATGGGGGAAGAAGAGAGGGAGTGGGAGCGAGCTGAGAAGAGAGCATGTCTGGAGAAGGAAGGAGGTGAGATGAACAGTTGGTAAGAGGCCTGGGCATTGCAGAGAGAGGGAAGCCAAGAAGACCCTTAAGACGTCCACCCTGTGTCGGGAGATCCCTGTCCCAGCCTGTCCCTTTGAAATGGCCTTCAGTGAAGATCCACAGGCTCAGTGAAGACCCACAAGATCGGAGCCTGCTGGAACATCCCACTGGTGCCCCAGTCCTGGTCAAATACCAACAGTTCTGTATCATAATTCATCAGCACAATGATCCCCACAACGATCCCCTCAAAACCAAGAACTACCCTTGGCATGCTGTGTTCAGGAAAGCAAGGAGAAATATATTTGTGAAAAAGTCTTAGCAAACAATGTGTTAAATGAATTCTCATGCCATTGAAGTCATAGCTTTGGTTACCTGGAAAATTCACATAACAGAGCCCACCTCCAACAATATTAGATGAATTAGGTTGTTGCATTTAAATTCCTAGAAATGTGCAGCTTAAATAAGCTCCTGGGTCCTGTATCTGGCGTCATAAACCAAATGGTGTCTGGAAAGCTCTTTTCCTTTGGCCTTGTTGAGGTTGGGACTGGCATTACTACAGTCCTAGGAAAAAAGCCTCCACATTCCCCAGTTTTGCCCGATTTGGGTGAAACTCTCCAACAGCTACAGAAGTCATAAGGTAGAATTTCCGAGGCCATTTCCTCCTATACTTGAAGAGACACGGCAATGTGCCTAAAATGAGATGTGTGGAAATCTGACCAGTTCCTCAGTCTTCTCCATGCTAACGTTTACTGTGGTTGTAGTTTTCACAATAGCATTCTCATGTCACCAATAGGGGTGAAATTTGAGTCCTGAGAAGGGATCAAACCACTTTAAAAAAATCTGTTTCATGGTTTGCATGAAACCCCCAGGAACATGGGCAGAAGGAGAAGCTGTTTATTCAAACAAATAGCAGGTTCCTCTGCAGGGAGACAAGGCTGGCATGTCCTGCCCATGTCAAGTGAAATCAGTCACAGTCACTTCCACTGGTCTCAGGCAGGATGGCCCAATTGCAAGATCAAGCAGAGCTCACGGAAACAGAGCAGCCAAAAAATATACAGAAGATTCTTCCAGAAAATTCAAAGCACTCCAAACACTTCTGGCAATTTGGATGTGGTTACATGTCTTTGGAAGATGTTTAGCTCTAAATCTAAGTTTCAGAATGCTTTTAATGACCACCAACCATCACTCATATGCACGTGTGATGCTAAACAAAGATGCGCTTAGTCAACACTTAGTATGCTTGTGCTGTCTTGAAATGTGTTCGGCCAGCCTTCCAGAGTATGTCTTTGCAAGGCTTGGAAGAGACAGTGCCTGTGATCATCTTTCCTCGCAGGGAGGATGGCCCATGGGAAAGGCCCGGAAAGGAGACCTTGAATGATGCGCACATGCTCCACATGCCTCATTTCTTTAACCATGTAGCACCAACTAAAGGAACAATCCACTTAAACCTCAGCCTAGGTTCTTGCTAAGATAATGACCACTCAAGATGGTCAAGTACCTCAGCAGCCAGCTCTGTAAATCGGAAGACTTGGATTCACAGATTACTGCAGTTCATGGTTCCCATATGGACAAACTATACTTCCAGAAAGAAAGAAAAATTGATAAACTCATGTTTAATGGCTACTTGTTATGTTCCTGGCAGTAGGCAAGGTGTTCTCCCAAAATAACCATGAGAGGTGAGGTGATGACTCTTATGCCCATTTAACAGAAAAAGAAACTGAGGCTCAGGGAAGGAGGTAAGCTGCCTCAAGTCACGCAGTTGCTAAAAGACTGAGGCCAGCTGGGAATTCTATTGGTTCTCCGCACCTGTAAACTTACCTGCACTGTCATGTCATCAAAATAGGAGTCTCTCCAGTGCTCCCTAGCTGGCCTGTGCTCTTGCCTCCTGGCTGCCTTCTCTCACCAGGTGGTGTTATGTGGGCTCTTTGCCTCATTCCACAAGCCATTCTCCTCCTTCTCATCCCATGACCTCTGCACATATGCTCAGCTTTCCCATCCTAACACCCTTCCTTCGACTCCTTTTAACTACTGTCTGGAGTTAGTGAAGTGCATGACACTCTGTGTCACTCTATAACCTGTCACAAGAGGGTGGGTGACCTGCTACTTCACAGAACCTGCTTTGAAAAAAACCATGTATGACCTCATGCTTTCCCATCTCATGGCCTCCTTCCAGGCCCCATCCCTCCTGAGCCCTCTGAGTGTGGCTCCATTAACATTTCTCCTATAAGCTTGGCTCCCTTGGGAAGCTTCACGATTTTCTACCTGAGACCAGCTGCTCCCTCCGTCTTTCACTCATTTCTCTGTCTCCATCAGCCCTTAAGCACTGGGCTCCTCACATCACCATCCTCCTTTCTCTTCCTTTCATTGGCTTGTCCCTCTGACCTACCCTCTGGGCCTCAGTTCCTGGCAGCATACTGAACTCCTACTGTCAACCTCTCCTGAGCTTCCTGGCTGTCCTTTTGTATCTCCAATTGATGGCCTGAAGATTTTTCAACAAAACGTGTCCAACACCAAACTCATTCATCCTCTCCCTCCACTGATACTTCTTCCACGCTGGGTGGATGATGCTGCCATCCACCTGGTTGTCTGGGTTGGGAGGACCTTTGAATCTGCCTGGACCCTTCCCTACCTCCACTCAAAGTCCTGACATCTCCACATGCCCATGTCTCATCTGTTCATTCCCTTATCTCTACCCTCATGGCCACTGCCTGGTAAGTCTTTTATCCTGTCACTGTGGTTGGCACAACAGCCTCCCAAATGGTAACTCTGACTCCAGTCTTTCATCTCCTAACCCCTCTACCTACTACCACCAAACCCATCTTCAAACAGCAAGACATTACTGGTATTCTACTGCCATTCTTAGTGGCTTCCCATGCTGTCCTGACCTAAACAGGTAATGCCCCTCGCTCGACCTCCCAGCCTGAGTAGGAGATGCCCCTCACTCGACCTTCCTGACCTAAGCACGAGAATGCCCTCACTCACATCTGCAACTTCCCTGCATGACTACCATGCATCCGGGGCTCAGCTCATGCCACCCTTCCCTAGAGTGCCCTTCTCCCTTGGTCCTCCTGGGAACTCCTCCATCATTCCCATGGCTCCCCTCACACCTTTTGGCTGCATCTCTCCCTGACCCACCCCAGGCCTGAAGGAAGAACTGTCCCCACACCTGTGTCCCCACACATGTACTCATGGAGGACTGATCACAGAGCTGGAGTTATTGTCTGACTCACCATCCCACACGGACTCTTCAAATGCACAAACTGGATTATTCATCCCTAAGTCCCAGGGTCTAATTCACTGCTTGGATCACAGTTGGATGCCCAATAAATCTGTGTTAAGTGAGTAAATTAATAGACCTTTTCCTGTCTGCAGCATTCAATCAGGCTGCAGCGTCGTTCCCACTGCAATGCATGAGGACACGTGCTCTGTATCAAAGACACACACAGCTTTTAGTGACACGTGTAAAGTCTGGATTTCTATGGAACCTGTTTTAAGTTCTGATGGCTGTTAAAGTGTGTACAGTGCATCACCTATAATAAGGATAAATACAGCCAATGCTCTGTCAACATCATGACTACCTTCTTTAAAAGTCTCATTTGCTAAGCTGCACTTCCTACCATTCACTCATTCACCCATTCACTCTCTCGTTCAAACCTACCTCTATTCAAAAGAGTTGGAACTTACACATTTTAGTTTATCTGTCAACAAGCAAGTGCTATCTGCCCACCCATCTCTATTCTTCCTATCTCTTTGTTTGTTTGTTTCTTGTAGAGATGGAGTCTCACTATGTTGCCCAGGTTGGTCTCCAACTCCGAGACACAAGGGATCCTCCCTTCTCAGTTTCCCAAAGTGATGGAATTACAGGCACGAGTCACTGCATCTGGCCTGTTCTTTCTGTCTAATGCAATTGGTGAATACTGCAGGAAAAAAATATCAAGTCCATTAAACTGAATAATTTAAATTCTACATTATTTCTTGAGAGTAGAAATTTTATTTTTATTTCTATTGTCTGCCAAATCGATCTCACTAGAACTTTTAAAATCCAAAAACCAACCTAATATTTTGTGTCCTAATATTTTCCAAGATATATCAGATGCTACCTAATACAATGAAAAGAAAAGCAAATTCTGCATCGGAGTGTGTCATACCATGAATATTTATCCTCCTATTTATGGTCACTCTGGATGGATTGCCATGGAAGCCAGCCACGCATGAGGGACAGAAGTACCACATGTGTACCTGTGGAAAACTGAGGACAAGTCCCATGGTCCCTCTGATCCTATATTGGGAGAATATAGACCCAAGGGTGTGGCAGCAGGTGCACTCACCTGGTGAGTTCTGAGGAGATGACACGGGGGAGCCGCGCGGGGACTGACAGTAGCTGGGATGCAGTAAGGCATGTGGCGGCACGTAGGACATGATCTCCTCCTCAAACAAGCTGTGGAGACAAAAAAAGAAAAACCACCAAAAAACAAAAATGGGCGGGCCTTCAGCCAAGAACATGGGGATGCCTAAAGTCCTCTGCCCACTCCCTTAGGCCAGTCCCCAGCCCAGCCCCACCCCAGCCTCCTCTGCAGGGATCCTCAGACAAAGCCCTGGTTGCTGTTGCTCTGCAGACGTTCGTGGTCATCTATCTCTTCGCTAGCTACCAGTTTTTGATAAAATGATTTCTATTTTACCATCTTGGTAGATGAGTTTCAGTATATTTCTTTGGCTGAAAATCGTACCTGGGTTTTTTGATGTGGAAGGAAAATTCAACATGATAAAAAATGTTTACTGAGAACCCATAATAGACACAGAAAGTATGCTCTTTGTCTCTATTCCAAGAAATATACAACAGGGTCTCAGCCTGCAAAGAGCTTAGGATTTAATAGGATATTAAGAGCAAAAGAAAACAAAGCACCCCCTAAATAATTACAACTGCTAAATACTTAGCTTCCTTGTTTACCCTGGCTGCTATCTTTCAAATGTGAGAATTTTGATCTTAGATTATTTAACAGTCTTCTTTCTCCCTGACACTGAAGTATCTGTTTCTGATGCTCCTCTAAAAGACAGTCACCAGGGACCTGAGATCCTGGAATCCCAGGCTTTTATTGAATATTATGATGAGGGAAACTACTACTGAGTGCATGAAGCTCAATATATAAACTCTTGGCAAAATAAAATTAAAACAATACAATAAAAGAGCTTGTGTTTTTAAATTAAGAAGTGGAGTGTACTTCTTTTTTCCCCTCAAACTTGGCCAAACCTAGAAACCTGTTCAGACACCTTACACACACATCTATAGATCTGTACAAGAGGGTAGACCTCGATAAACCAGAAATTTATTAAAAATTGTGTATTTATTCTTACATGTTTAAGCTTCAGTCACCATCAAAGTACTGTCCATTTCATGCAACACACCTACTGAGACACTTTTTCCACAGCTCAAAACAGTTTCTGAATTCATCAATTTTGATGCCTCTTGTGCTTTTGCCATTTTTTGTTTCACCTCTTTCACACTGGCAAAACGTTTCCCTTTGAGGACTTTTTCATCCAGGGAAACAAGAGAAGGTTACTTGGGGCAAGATCAGGTGAATAGTGAGGGTAGGGCATGGGGTCACGCTATTTTTGGTCAAAAACTGCTGAACACTTAGTGTAATGTGGGCAGGTGTGCTGTCATGGTGGAAGAACCAGTCATCTGTTTGCCACAACTCAGGATGTTTCTTTCACAAATGTGACACAACCTTCTCAAAACTTCCATCAATGGTCAAACTTTGGTTGACCATTTGATCCAGAGGAACAAACGCCAGGTGTACCACAAGATGCCTGCCTTCCAAAAGATAATTCAATTTTTTTTGTGGGGAGAGTCCCCCTTATATCTATATAAAGATGTATATCTGTGTGTGTAAGCATGTATGTATATGAAATTCTTTTGTTCTCATCTACTATGGTGTAATAGGTATTCTTCCTCCCATAGTTTTATATTTTGCAACATATATAGACAAATGACGTATAGTTTTGCCTTGTACATTGTTTAAAAATTATAAAAATGTTATGTTAAAAAATTACAAAAATGTTACATAGCATCCTTGAGGTTTTTTTCACTCAACAATATAGTTCTGATACCTATATGATACAGAAAGATCGAGTTTAATTCTTTACCTCTTATAGACTAAGCCTGAGCATGTCAGTTTATTTATCAACGTCACTTTTGACAAATATTTACTTTTTCCTCAATTATGTGCTTTGGTCAACAACAGTGCAATGAACATCCTCTACACATCACCGTGTATGTACCCAAAGTTTCTGAGTATAAGTGTGATATATGCCTAAAGCCAGAGCTGCTTAGTCACAAGGCACTTGCTTTGTCACCTGCACAAGGTATTGCCAATTTGTACTCCAAGAAGGCTGGGCTCATGCCCAGACAGCATGAGTGCCTAGGTCTCACTCGGTATTATCAGACTTTTTGATGTTCACAAACCTTGCGGTGTGAAATGATATCTCATTGTTTGAAATTGCATTTTATGATCCTTAGCTTCTTTTCAGGAGTTTATTCATACTACTCATACTTCAATTTCTATGAGATGCCTCTTCATATCTTTGATCCATTTTTCTGTTGGGTTCTCTTCTTTTAAATTAAAGGCATTCTTCACATACCCATAATCCCTTTGTTGCATGTGTTGTGAATATATTCTTCCTGCTTGCTATCTTTCTTTATGCCTTTATATTTGGTGTTTTTCATTGTACAAATTTTTATGTAGCCAAACTTATCAATCACTTCCTATATGAACTCTGATGGGGGTACATTTTTCACATGACTTGAGCTAATGAAAGAATATCTAAAATAGAATAATCAGTAATACAGTCAACAAGATTGTTTTAAAACTCTCATGTTTTAGAATAGCCCTATTAGAAAATAACTTTACATGGGTTTATTTTGAATTGAATAATTCCTAGAGCTATACTATCTTTACCCTTCAGCTTATTGGCAACCAAATCTACTTACACAGGAGTGATTTTCTTTTTTAAGATATAGAAAAAAAACCCCCACAAAAAAAACCCACAGATCTTTCACTTTATATGCAACAGGTAGACTGCTGGCGTTTATAGTCACTCAAACTCCAAAGTAAAATAAAAAGCAAAGAACTAAAGATATGAACAAAACATCAAAATTTTCAATGATCATTAAACATTATTTATTAAGCCTGTAATATGACACACTGGATCACTGTATACTATTATTAAAACAATAGGCATATGTGATCACCAAAATGAAAAGTCTAGAATTGAATGACATCATTTGTATGTACTAACCATGGACATATTATATGTAAGTGAATTTCTCACTCTTCTCTAAGGCCTATTATTTTCAGAGATCGGGCTTGTTTTCTTAAACGAGGGGAAATGTAGCCTTGCTCTTTATATATGAATGGGTCTTCAAATACTTTTCAATTCACTGCACAACACATAGAAACTCATGCAAATGGTGGTGTTCATCAAAGTACAAATACTCTAAGCTAGACTGTAATAAAATGTTTATGACTGTCAAAACAGCCTGGTATTGGTACAAGAACAGGCATATAGACCAATGGAACAGGATAGAGATTCCAGAAGCAAAACCTCAATTTCTCAAACAACTCATCTTCGACAAAGCCTCCACCACCAACCGCTGGGGAGAGGAGAACCTATTCAGTAAATGGTGCTGGGAAAACTGGCTAACCACATGAAGAAGATTAAAACAAGACCCCTACTTATCATCATACACAAAAATCAACTTTAAATGGATCAAAGACCTAAATGTAAAACCTCAAAAAATGCAGGAGATACCCTTATGGAAATTGGAACTGGCAACCAATTCCTGATCAAAACCCGAAGTGCCCATGCCATAAGAGATAAGATAGACAAGTGGGACCTCATCAAACTGACAAGTTCTGCAAAGCCAAAGAAACCATCAAGAGAGCAGGGAGACAGCCAACAGACTGGAAAAAAATATTTGCCAACTCCATGTCTGACAAAGGCCTAACATCTAGGATCTACAAGGAACTCAAATGTGTTGAAAAGAAAAAAACAAACAACCCCATTACAAAGTGGGCAAAAGATATGAACAGGGAGTTCTCAAAAGAAGATATACGAGCAGCCAACACATACATGAAAAAATGCTCAGCCTCACTAGTCATCAAAGAAATGCAAATTAAAACTACAGTGAGGTATCACCCAGCTCCAGTCAGGATGGCCATCATGAATAACTCAAAAAGCAACAGATGCTGGAGAGGATGTAGTGAAAGGGAACATTTCTACATTGTTGGTGCAAATCTAAACTAGTACAGCCTCTGAGGAAAATTGTGTGGTGATTCCTAAAAGATCTAAAAAATCAGCCTTCCATGAGACTCCACAGTCACCCTATTGGGAATATACCCGGAGGAACTCAAATCACTCTATGAAGAAGATACCTGCACATGTATGTTTATTGCAGCATTGTTCACAATAGCAAGAACATGGAGCCAACCGTGCTGCCCATCAAAAGAGGACTGGATAAAAAAACTGTGGTACATATATACGATAGAATATTAGGCAGCCATAAAGAAGAACAAAATCATGAACTTCACAGCAACCTGGATGGACTGAGAGTCTATAATACTGAGTGATCTTTCACAGAAATGAAGTACTGAGTATCACATGTTCTCACTCATAAGCGGACCCTGAACAATTATTGTAATACTATAAAAAAAGGATTGGCAGTAGTGGGAAACTTTTGGGGGAGGGATGCAGGGGGGTGGGGAGGCAGGATTGGTAGTAGTGAGAATCTGCCTGGGGAAGGGGGGGCACACCTTATCAACAAGGAAACCTGCATGATGAACATTTGTATACCTAACCCTGAATTGTACCCCACATCTTTAAAATTAAAAAATTAAAAATTAATTAAATGTCTATGACTATACCATCTAAAGATTATTTAACTAAGGACAGGTAAATGATTATCATTATGACTTCTGTTTTTACTAATTCCAAAAGCAGGATTCTTAGTTTAATTGAAAAAACCTTAGGTTTCTAGAATAAAGTAAAAGAATCATATCCTAGCCAGATTTTTATAACAAAAATCTAACTATATTATCACCAAACTATGACAGAAACATCCTACTCTAATACTATTTCCATAGTCTTCCTGACCACCTCAGGCTACATGCTGCTTTCAGAACTAGCCCAATATACAGGAGCAGAGAGGCCGCCCTTTGAGAAGTGACCCATTCATGTAGGTCCTGTTCAGTGGCAAGTGAAGATAAATGCCTACAGAAAGTGATGGCATCCTTGTGAATTATCCATACATTACACAATACAGAAAGATAACTTTTGGTCGGAACGTGCCTGATCTCATCAGAAAGATAACTTCTGGCAACAGCCAAGTGGGCATCAGAAATATGGCAGCAGTATAGGAACTATTAAGCAGAGAAAAAAGAAGTAGTCAGGGGTGAGATCACCATGGACGGTGTAAGCAAGGTCGTCAGCACTCAGGGATAATACAACAGGCCTGAGTGATCCAGCAGGTGGTCTCTTTAATTCTCTGGATGTTTCAGGGCTGTGTGTCCCAAACACTGGGCATAATAAAGCATTATATACTCTGGTTTGCCTACATTGGAGGGATAATATAGAAAATGGGAAGATCTTTCTAAAAATTGCTGATTTTCCTTCTAAACTACTCTAAAACTAAAGTTGACTTAACTATCAGGGAAGAAAACATAACTGGTCAATTTTATGAAGGGCTATCAAGTTGGCAGTCAGGACCAGAGACCAAATTTCAACTTGCTGGTCTCATGACCCAAACCTAAACTCTCAGAATCATAATATAAACACTTAATGACTTGAATCAGTGTGCATTTTGAGAAAAAACAAAACCAAAAAAGACTGAAAGAAAATATAAATGTGACCTTTCTCCTCCACAGAAGTGCTACTGAATACTGTGGACACTGTATTCAGCTAGCATGGTCCATTCTGTGGGGGGAGACATTGTGCTTACTATTCTCACCACCCCCATACCACCCCCTTCACCAGCAGGGTACCAAGTCAGCTTTTGGGAGAACCAACACAACCTGAAATGAATTACCACTCAGTAAGTACCTAAGTCTTCCTCGTGGGTATCTCCACAAGTCATAAGAATGAAGGAGGCAGGCAGACCACCCATCGTGGCACTGTATTCTCTAGGATGCCTCAATGTCTGTGGCAGGAGCTTCTGCTGCAAGAGAGAGGGCTACCCACCTGAGCAGCATGACCAGGTCTGCATCGCTGGAGAGCCGCACCAGTCCTGGAGTCCCTTCAGTTCGGATAAATTGGATCTTCTCCCTATTCAAACAAAGACACAGCTCAAAATCTATGTGGCTGCCTTCAGGATGTAGCTCAGTGGTGAAACACATGTTTGGTAATGGCCACAACCGCTTCTGTGCCCATCATGGGGCACCACGATGTGGTACACTGGGAAGACACAGTCGAGAGAGCTGGTCTCTGCCTTCAAGAAGGACCTTGTGAGCATATATACTGCCCAGTTCAGCACTGAGGAAAGGTGTCTTTAATGCTTTTGCCATTTGCTGCCCATGTACTGTGACAGGTAGCATATCATCTTACCAGTAGGCTCATCTCTGCTGTGAATTCAAGCTGACTGTGGGCCTGAGTCTAAGCAACAGTCTTAGGCTGGCCCTTGCCATTCCAAAATGGGATCATGTGGGGACAGCCGTGCATCTTCTAAGGGTACACCTTTAAGTCATGTGTGATTTATTTGTCCTCATTGGTAGCTGACAGTATCTAGGAGTTTACACAATCAATATAAAAGCATGTGGCTTTTTAAATAAGGAAGAGCCACAATACTTTCAGTTAAATGGACTGTGTGCATACTAGGACACATGTATATACACATGAACATATCACATGCAACAACACGAGCTATTTTCACCATGACTCTGTTACAGATACATGTGATAACACCAGCTTTTTCTTTTTGCTTGATGAGTCATCATGTTACTATTTTCCATTTGTTATGTGAATACAATTTTAATACAACTTTTTCATGTGCTTTCCTTCATTCATATGTTATTTCAAAGCATACCACATTGATTTTTATACAATGAGGAAAACAATAAAAACGTAAATGATGGTACTAAACCATTACATTTGGTTGGAACACAGAGGTCAACACTAATGCGTGATATGATTCTGAGTGCTAGGACAATGTATTCTGATTACTGTTCCATGAAGTAAAATACTAGTCACTGAAAGGAGTATTTATTTAGATTTAGGTCTTATCTGCAGGGTTCCTTATTTTTCTCTTGGATATTTTCATAAGGTTGCACGGCACTTTACATTTTCAGATTCCAAATTCTCTTCTTAAAATTGCTGACTGACTTAAAGGCAAAGCAGTGGAAGGCAAGGTTTAATGCTCAGATGAAAACTCCCCTAATGTGTAGGAAAGCCCATTGGCTTGCCCCTAGGCATGTGGTTTACCACACGGTTCAGACCCTGGTGTCTTCTGGATTGGTCATTTTCTGTAATGTTAGTATATGAACCATCTGACCTTTAGTTTTTGCCAATTTCTCTTTTCTGTCTTTTATTGCCAGTAGCTAACCACTATTAAAAAAAAAAAGACTACTAAGAAATACATGGCTGATGTATAAGTAGAGAAATTGCTCAGAAGGCCAGCTTCTCTACTTAAGGTTATCTCAACTTGAAGCCTTGAACCAGGCAGAATGTTTCCCCTCAATTTTTGAAGTCATGTGTCTGAAACAAACGATGGAAACCAAAGCCCATTATCTGGTGAATGGTTTTTTGATAAGAGATATAAACGCTGGCTAAAAAAGCTAAATGAAAGAAAAGTTATTTTGGAGAAACATGAACAATAACAACCAAAGCAACACTCTTACAAGGGTCAATAACAATAATCTTTGATCCTGAAGGATTAAAGACCATCTCCAACAAATACGCAAGCTTTTCTCCTTAGTCTATCATCATAATTAAATTCAGGCAAATAGAACAAACCAAAAAGCAGATGAGCCGAGTTCTCCTTTCCTCCTTCACCGGAGCCACACATCTAGGGCATGTGATGGCAGGGATATGCCCTGGACTGTGGCCTGCAGCCTTCCTGTGAATAAGGACAGCGTCATCACTCCCTGAGTCACGAAGATGATGGGGCGGGGAAGGGCAGGGGTGCAGGCACCCAAGGGGGGTGTGCCATCACCATTTTCACCATGTAAACTCCTAGGCAGTGAAAGCAACTGGCCTGACTTTCCAAGTGAGAACGTTCAAAAGGCAGGCTGTGATGTGTTTTCTAATTTGTCCCCATGACTGGCTATGGGTCATGTGCTTCCAGGAACCAGACACTGGAACACGTCATCCGATGCATATCACACCACTAAGGACTTTCTTATACTGATAGTGACTCACTCCTTGAAGACATGTTGGAGTCTGGGCATGGTGCCACACATGGGGATTTCAGGGGGAAGACACATCTCTCCCCAAGGAGCTACAATACAGGGAGGGGAGAGTCAACAGGCAATTCAAGTATTACACAGAACTATTTAAATTCTGCTGTTTGCTTAACTGAATCCTGGTGAGGCCTTATACCTGCTCCTAGCCTAGACAGTCCTTTATGAAGTCCTTTCATGTAGAAACAAAGAAACTCCTAACAAAAGGCATGAGTTTACTGACCAGCAAGACAGCAGACCAAGGCTGAGGGAGAGAGAGAAGCAGACAGCCTCAGAAATGTCACCAATCTTCTGAGAAAAACAGAGGAACTGCTTCTTGGTTATCAGGTATTTGCCCAATATTCTACAGACCAGAGTTGCTCGAACTGGTGTCCACGTCTATCAGAAATTTGCAGATATAAGCTTGAGTTCTGCAAGAATTTTAAAATTTTGTGTTTTCACTTTGATACTCAAAGCAGCTAAAGTAAGGTAAGCATGTTTTGAATGATGTGGACAATATTCATGACCAAATATGCTGTGTGACTCTGGGTCCCGTGTCTGCATTCACAGGGCAGTCAGTGCCAGGTAATCAGAGATGGGCTTTGCCAGTGTTGGTGGGCAGCCTGGCTGCCCCAGGTGGCAGGGCCTTGGCAACAGTGTGATGACAGCGGCCCCCACTGCTGCACACATGGGTCTCTCACCAATGACGAGGGCAAGACACTTCTCTGCGGCATGAACTTGCATTGTGAAAATGATTGAGTGAGGCTAAGCAATGTGTAGATATACTGCCCTAGGCTAAGGAGACAACTAAAGAGATGGATCTAAAAGGTATATCATGCAGTACGCTAAATAATGCAGAAGAGATGTCCTGGCTCATTCTAAGAACAAAGGCTTCACAACAGTTTGCAGACAGAAAAGTGGTGGCGGAACACACTCATGCCAGGGCATGCTCACTGGCATGTTTTTTCTTCAGTATTTTATTTGGGGCACACTATTAAATGATTTGGCCTGTAAAAACAACAAGTCAGTAGATCAAAATAAGCTTTTTGTAAAGAAGGAAAAATGACAATCATGATTATGTTAAGGATGCACGTGATAGATCATGGGTATAAAATCCAAAGAATCAGGTCAAACACAAGTGAAACCAACAACACAACTGTACAACTGTATCTTCCCTCAATAATTTTTTCAGCACTGGTGACTTGGCTTCTGAAAAACAAAATCTTGGCCAGGCACGGTGACTCAAGCCTGTAATCCCAGCACTTTGGGAGGACGAGGTAAGAGGATTGCCTGAGCCCACGGGTTCAAACCAGCCCGGGCAACTTGGTGAGACCTCATTTCTACAATAAATAATAATAAAAATTAGCCAGGTGTGGTAGCGCGCCTGTAGTTCCAGCTACCTCTTGAGCCCAGCAGGTAGATGTTGGGGTGGTCATGAGTGTGCTACTGTACTCCAGCCTGGGTTATGGAGTGAGACTCCAACTCAAAAAAAAAAAAAAAATCTTCTCACAATTATAGCATTAATTCAAATGTTATTAAGTTTTTAACTGAATTTGTATATCTTTTGGTATGTTTTATAAAAGCTGTAGGCATAGGACATTTATACATATTTTATATTTGTACACATTCAAGTTGAAAATAAAAGTGGTTGACCAGGAGTGGTGTCTCATGCCTATAATCCCAGCATTTTGGGAGGCCGAGGTGAAATAATCACTTGGGACCAGAAGTTTAAGACCAGCCTGGGCAACATAGTAAGACCCTGTCTCTACAAAAAATTAAAAAAAAAAAAATTAGTCAGTCATGGTGGCACATGTCTATAGTCCCAGCTATTCATGAGGTGGGAGAATTGCTTGAGGCCAGGAAGTAGAGGCCGAGCTATGACTGTGCCACTGCACTCCAGCCTAGATGACACAGCAGGACTACATCTCTAAAAAAATAAAAAATAAAAAGAAAGTAAAATAAAATAAAGGCAGTTAAGTCAACACTGGGGCCTGCACTATTTCTTGTCCTTTCAGAATGGAAAATAACAGATGTGATTGCTATGGACCTCCATGAGTCCACCCAGAATTTGGATTAAACATAACACATTCAAAAAACATTGTTATAGATATATCTGACCATGATTAGAGGAATGTTTGAAAATTACTTTAATATATGTATTCAAATGTATTAATTTATAGTTTGAAGGACTCTATGGCAGTCCTCAGTTTCTTTACTGCCTTGCCCTTCATAAAGAAATTCTAGTCACTCTCAGTGGTTTATAATGAAGATGGTGTGACACTCTCTGCATGGGCATGTCTCTCTTAGTCCCTTAGGGGCACATTCCAGCTCTTTCTCCTTGTACCTTCTCACTTGGCCAGCGAGGTGCAACTTAAATTCCTTTGGAAACCAAAATTTCTTGGGGAAAAGCCCTTGCTCCCTGATCCTCGTGTCCCCCACAACCAAGCACCGCATTGTCCACCTAGTGAGTGCTTAGTAAACACAAACCAGACACTTGATCAATTAGGGCCAAAATAACAGAAGTGGCTGCTGATGACCACCCTCAGAATCCACCCAGTGTTTGGGATTTAGACAAACTTTCCTTCATTTTTTGCTGTGGCAGAGAAACAAAACGAGAATTGGAGAGCTGACACCAGAGTGCTTTCTAGAACAGAACCACTGTTGGGAAGCCAGGGCAGGTGAAGAGGCACTTTTCTAACTTGACACTCGGCTGTCCAGCAAGATGCCAGCCTACGGTGACAGTCTTCGGAGAGTGTCCCACTGCTGCTGTGTCTCAGACTCTGCCATCTTCAAGCCTCTGTGACCACTTCCTCTGTACACCCCAGAAGACTGGCTCTTGCAGGAGATCATCTGAGGACAATGTGCAGTCGCATGACTGAATTCCCATGGGAAGCATTCTCATTGAAACCACCCAGCGTTTTAGTAAAGTAAAAGAAGGGCATATTCTCAGAACAACCAGAAGTGCATGCTCTAGACCGCAAAACTCTCTGAACTGCAGACTCTGCACATCCCACTTCCTGTAGATACAACTGAGAAGCACATTCACTGATGCATGTTGTTCAACCCGGTCCTCAGGCAGCTCCAGAGCATGCCCTTGACTTCCCTAATGGGACAATGTCAAGAAAGGCCAAGGAGTACTGATCATTCACACTCGTTCACACTCAGAATCTCCATCCCAGGGCATGTCTGACTCAACAGAACACTCGTCCCTCCAAGGGAAGACTACGGACATTAAGGCACATGATTCTCATGGGCATGCGATAGTGAAATGAACCAGTCATGCGTTTGGGGGCAAAATTTGTCATAAGTGGATATAGATCATCTGCATTTAAGAACTCAGAGAGTTGCTAAATTTTGCTTGTTTCTTCATCTTAAAGTAAACATACTTAAAGAATGCAAATGAATACAAAAGAAAGGAGGAGTAGCCATCTTAATTTCAGACAAAATACCCTTCAAACTATTAAAAATCAAAAAAGATACAGAAGGCCACTACATAATGATAAAAGGCTCAATCCATCAACAAGAAATATCTATTCTAAATATATATGCACCCAACATAGGTGCGCCAACTTTCATAAAGCAGCTTCTTGGAAAACTAAAGAAAGATATTGGCTCTAACACTATCATAACTGGGGACTTCAATACCCCACTCACAACCTTAGACAGATCATCAGGACAAAAAATCAGCAAGGAGATCCGGAACCTCAATGTAACTTTGGACCAAATGGACTTAATTGATACCTACAGAACACTCCATCCAAAGACCACAGAATACACATTCTACTCATCACCACATGGAACATATTCTAAGATTGACCACATACTCGGCCATAAATCAAGCATAAGCAAATTTAAAAGGACCGAAATTCTACCAAACACCTTCTCGGACCACAGTGGAATAAAAATAAACATTGACACCAACAAAGTCCCCCCAAAACCCACAAAGACATGGACACTAAACAGCATGATGCTAA